GATACAATTAACATAAAAATGTAGTAGACTTGCGCTAAATTACAGATTATTAACATTCGTCCTCGTTTAGTAAAACAAAGTGCCACAGATAAGTAATACGGTGGAATAATATGGTTCCGCTAACCGTGCATTACTGGTTCATAATGAAGTGCGGTTTCCGACTGACCATCGACATAATTTTACAATATATCTTGTCTGTAGCAAGACGTTGTTGTAAGTTTTTACTGTACCATTTCTTTTTATTTAATAAAGATTAGCTTAGAGATTTAAGCTAATGTATCGATCCTGGCTCAACTTCGGAATAATTAAATCAGTTTTACCCTATACCAGCAACGTATCCTTTCGTACTTTGGCCACACAGTCCATAGGGTTGGCGAGGACCTGGAGAAACTGATTGTACATTGTTGGGAACACCGAAGGTAAGAGATCGCGTAAGCGTTCTGCAACGAGATAGACCAATCATATAAAAGGCTCGACCTCAAAATTTTGTACGGTTGCAAGAGACTCGCTAGACAGAAACCGCTGGAAGCAGACCGTCCACTCCGGATGCAATCCTGATGCTGACCACAATCCTAAGACATGACATGAGAGAACGACTAGAAATAGAGAGAGAGATTTACTACCGACCTTAATTTATGGAATCACACTCGATATCGCTTATAAATCTTTATATATAGGTATAATTCTGCTGTACGTCTGTATGTCATTGAACTCCTCCTAAACAGCTTGCCCGATTTAAATGAATTTTTCTGTGTGCGTTTGAATGGCGCCCTGGATGGTTTAGATTCACAAATCAGCCCGGTAGATGACGATACAGTCGGTATCTAGGTTATTTAGCTATACCTATTAATATATTATTATTATTATCATATTATATGCAGGACAACGTCTGTCGGGTCCGCTAGTATCATATAAAATGATTCGCTAAAATAGTGAAATATAAAACAAGAAATCGTTCAAGTACTGATAAGTAGATAAGGTATTTAGGCATATACCTAAATACCTTAAGTAGATTTAAAGGATTGTAAGCGCTACCGCAGTAGGTTAAAGTAGTAAATAGTCAAAGTGCCGGTTATGGCAGTTACAATAATCTGTCATGCCACTGTTTTAATTAGACATGCAAGTAATATACAACAGAGCACGAAATATATAGAGTCGTGTTCAAAGTAAAATTTAACGATTCTATTTATGTTTCAAAATTAAAGGTGGAGCAGTATTAGATTTTCGAACAAATTAATGAAATTACATTTGTAAAATACGCCTTGCTTGTCTATGGTAAACTATGTCAATCAATAACATATACAAAAACAATTTTACGTCTACTCGATATAGATATACATACCTAACTACACAGATATGTAGCAAAGAAGTGGGTACATGGAACCTCAATCGTAACCAGTTCTCCTTCACGAAGGTTAAATTAGTTCTCTAAAAAAATGTACCAACCTCATTGGAATACTCCGGACAATTCTTCCGGCAGCACCCACTCGCTACCGCTTACCATATCAGCTGTTATCTTCACCTCACTTCCGAGTTCCGCTCAACCCCACACCTTAATTTATGTCAAGAACTTTATCTCGTTAAAGGTCAACATTTTGTTATTGATCTTTACAACGATTGTATTTAATTTTAAGCTATTTTCATCAAACGCCAATTATTTTTTCGAGAATTTTCCAACAACTGCGTGAAGTTCAAGGTCCCGAAGACCTTTGTGGCACAATGCCTGGCGTTTGTCTGATTAATAAGTTGTATACTATTTATACACACATGCATAAATGTACCTGTGCTTACAGTTACAAGTTTCGTAAATAATTAATCAATATGGACTTGTATCGCCATGTCGTCTTCTTTAGATTGGATAGGACATGACACTATCTAGATGTCATTCAACCCGACTTGCATGGAATTTCCAACCGGAGCCGAGTGGGAGTGGGCACAATGTTGGATATTTGTTGTTACACAATTTAGGCAAGTTTATATGAGAGGGAAAAATACAAACTATTGATGCAACTACTTAACAAAATGCAGATACATTGCTGCAATGGCTATCTGCATACGAATCACACAATCGTAGTCCTTGCAGCTTTTACTAAACGCGAATTTGCTCCGTATTTCACACTCAGTGAGTTTTGTTACGCAAAGCTTACAATCTCTGGTATCGCGAGCAGTTTATTATTTAATTAGCAACTAAACTGAATGCACCATAAGCCACATGAAGCTGCAACTACATCCGTTTCCCGAAGGCGAAGAGTCGCGGATCGCGGAGGCGTTTCGCAACGCCCTGCGGCGGCGCCCGCGCATTCCGGCCGCGACACGGCGGCCACGAGATACGATACACACTCTTTGCGACACTACTCTGCACCTTTTCTGAATTACAAAAAGGTATTTTGTAGCTTCTCTTCATGTTATAAGTACCAACAAATGTTCTTAATAAAAAATAAACCTAAACAATTTACAAATTATCCAAATAAGCCAAATTTCACGATAGTAATGATTTGGCCCCCAAAATCCCAAATGTGTGTTTTCTTACTTTATAAACGTGATCATCCGTCAGAACCATCCTAGACAGTAAACTTAAAAACCAGTTAGTCACAGTACATAAATAGCAGCCGACATTTCGCAAATCTTCACAGCCGTACTCCTTCGTAACTAAAATGGGAAGTGGTGTTTGTGGTCTACCCAATTTAACGTAACACGCAACGGTGTCTATGGCCAACGATAATTTTATAACCGACCTATTCGACAAAACAGGTTTTCGTACATAAAATACGTTATTTAAAACCTTGCCCCAGGTTACGCTTACGAGGATCAGAATTCAGTTAAAAAAACATCAGAATTCAAGAGAACATCGCGAGCAAATAGTACTATAGGTATTCACACTTTTCATGAATTATATTGATTACGATCCCTTCATCAATTGACGTCATGTCTTAATATAATTTCCAAATTGAAGAACCCCTTAGGTTACCCTACTCCGTCCAATCCGAAGATCAAACTTAAATAGTAAAAAGAAGGTGTTCTTTGGCCGCTTATTAGCGTGTGGTATTTGACATTTTTACCGGCAATACAAGTCTTTAATTATTATTATTCGGGAGAGTTTGTGTATTCTAGTGTACCGTACTGTATACCCGAGACATTATCCAAATAGCATCACATAAATCTACTGCGAGAATATTCGTGTCAAGTACGAAACTCGTCTCATTAACATTTTAGAACAGTAGCTCGTGGCTTCTAGTACTGGCGTGTAATTTACACCTACCCTTACAAGTCGCACAGTCTGCTGTACTCGTCATTTACATAATATAACTAGATGTGCCTGTGTCTTTGTCCGTTTAATGTAGTGAAAATTATGAGTCAAATTATATGTGCAGAAAAAGATCGTACTTAGATATCATGAAACACCCAACGATATCTGAGGATTTTCCCGGCTTTCTTAGTAATACTTACTATTTATGGTATACCAAGGCGTAACCTACATATTATGTGTGCCATATATTTTCATCTAGTTCCAGTCAGCCATTTTAAGGTATTTGAGTAACAAACATCGTTCCACACAAACATTTAGTACTAGCATAAATTAATATACATTAACATAGGTATCCAGTGGCCATTTACTTGAATGCTAATGCATATGAATCGCCTCTCCATAGTAGTATTCGATTAATAGATATGTGAATAATGGTTGGTTATAAATAATTACGTTCATTTGCCTATTGTAAGATTTATTGTCGACTATCCAATTTATAAAATACTAGCAGCCCGTCCCGGTTTCGCACGCAATTTCCAAAAATTATTTATTTTTGGAAATTTGAATTGTTGTAGTGACATAACTACAATAGTTGGACATATGCTACCGCGGAGTTTTATGTAGACATTATGATGTTCTTCAATATTGTTGTACATTATTTTGTTCTATCGCTAATAGTTTTGGCAGCGCATTCGACGAAAGACATTTTAAGATTGTTTTTCTACACCTTCGGTTACATTGTTCAAATTTTACCAAGGATTCCTAATTTTTTTCAAAATGACATGTAGCCTATGTCAAATTGGAAGAATGTAGCATTCTATTGGTGACAAAATTTTATAAATCGGCCCAGTACTTTTTGAGCCTATTCATTACAAACATACAAAAATAGGTACAAATCATTCCTCTTTATAATATTAGTATAGATAACTGGTCATTTAAGTAATTTAGGATTCTAATCCTTATTGAAATTCAAATTCTATTTAATTAAAATAAACACTTGATATCAATATTTGTACCTAGGTTAGGTATATTTAAAATTTAAGTAACGTTTCTTTTAAATCCTTATTTTAAAATTAACTTACTACACTAACTTGGTAGAGATGTAGGTACATCTCTCATTGCAAATTCGACTTTGAACTAATTTCGAGTGAAACAGCTGAATTTCTGAAACTCTACGTGAGATTTCATCAAATTAGTTAATAAAAATACTCAGCCGGAACAATTTTAGTAACTTTAATATTTACGATGTATACTTGTAACATTGTTACAATTTTTTGCAACAATTTATGAAATTAAGGATCATAAAGAATATTGTGTGCAATTTAAGTTAAACTAATTGCCTTCCCTCTCATTTAACGCATTTATAACCAATGGTAATATGTTAGCACAACACTGTGAGCTCATACGAATAATTATCTTATAATTAATTGCTTCAACTCACTCTCTTGCATTATTATGGAGACAATTCGTTAATTTAGGCGACCCAATCAAAATTAAACTTTCATTTCTCAGGATATTTATTTTTAAATAAGTCTTGTAATTTTGGAGCCCTAAGGTGTAGTAATTTCATGTAGTAGTTCATGAATAACCTTACACCTCGATTCAAATTGAAAAGCACGACGAATTCGGTAGTCTCATTCCACCCACTCCAACACACAAAGCCTTCAAGCCTTCAGACCACAATAGAAATAACATTAATACTTTCCTCATATAAAGCCACAGTACTAAAGTTTTCCATGTTCCCTTGTTTCAGGCTGGGTGAGCGATGAAGGGGTGGTTCGACGCGTTCCGCGAGGAAGGCGGGCCGACCCTATACGCGTACCACAACCGCACGGCCGTCGCGGCTGATGTGCCTGCGCTTGCGCTGCTCATCGCCGCGCTCACGATCTACATCGCCTTCCTCGCTGTCTTCCCCGGCATCAGGAAAGAGGTTGTACTCTTTATATGTCACATAACATAACATAACATCACGTCTTTTAGGGGGTAGGCAGAGGTGCACACAAAGGTAACACCCACTTTTCACTATTTATGTTATGAGTCCCATATACTGGGCACATTTTCAGACTCCGTGCTACTACTGAGATTTTTTTTTAAAAACCCAGTAATACTTTGCCCGGATTTTTATGTTATGAGTCCCATATACTGGGCACATTTCCAGACTCCGTGCTATTACTGAGATTTTTTTTAAAAACCCAGTAATACTTTGCCCGACCCGGGAATCGTACCCGAGACCCTTCGCCCGGCAGTCGCACTTGCTACCACTCGGCCAACGAGGCAGTCTTTATATGTCATAAGCAAATATTTATTTTTAATAAATATCTTACTAAAGCCAGCACGTTAAATTACTTCTGTCTGTAATTATCAACCTTATAATTTTGAGATAAAGTTTAAAATTCAATAAGTACACTCAAAGTTTAAGGTAGCTCAACTTAATGTTAGTAAGTAAGTTTTCAGTTTGAAAACCTTCCTAGGACTGACTAAGCGACTTCCCACTAAACACGTTCTGCCTACCAGTAAAAGGTGACTAAGTGTTGTCCTACAAGGTTGCATATTTCACATCTGCACTCCAAACTTATGACTAAACGATATTGAATCAACAACAGAAATGCCAGGCTATCGCTTTCCTGATCTCTGACATTGACGACAATCAGTTTATGGAACACCTGCTTATGTTAATCTATATTTCTATTGTATTAGTCACTTTTACTTCCTATTTCGATTAAATAGTAAACAACAACAAAGTATAAAAAGGAAATATACTGAGTTCCTATCTGAAAATATCACAGTTATATTGGATAATGTTAATGTAAGCTCAGACAGACTGTCAAAGCTACATCGTAACTTACACATATTAGTAGCATCTTGTGTTGTCAGCTACCAAGCATACAAGTTGTAAATAAGATAAAATTTTTATTTGACTATATCTACAAACATTTCTAGACAATGTAATGGCCATTGTTTTGTTTGAAATTGCTCCTAACATAGTATTATCTCCAGCTGATTGTAGTACCCAGTGCATTATTTACGAAACGTCTGCTGGGATCACGATAATGACTAGGTATAGCTCATAACAGCTACATTAAGACCTATCCATTGTTTGTTACAGAGATTCTCAACGTTCACGATAGTCACACTAAGCCTTTTCGTCGGCACCGTCATTCTAGGTAAGCATTATGGAATATCCAACTTTCCACTTTCTTTGTTCATAATTAGTGAGACGTAACCGTTTGGTTTTTTTGCAGAATAACTCTACAATTTTAACACCACTTTAAAAGCGTAAATCATTGCAGCAGACGTAACAGCCTTGGCAACAATTTTAACGACTTAATTACACTCATTTGCCATGAAAATTCTAATGGACACTTAATTAAAATGCAAGTACATTGCTTAAAAACAACAAGAAACGAGATTATTTATTGAATTTGGTATTGAGTTTTATAGGTATTAAGATAAAACTAATGTTTCGTAAATGTCTACGAAATGGTGGGGAAATATAAATTATCTGTCCGATTTATGGAGACTTGGGTAGGTACTATAGATGTCGAAAATAATAATTGTTGACAGATACTCCACAGTAATTGACAAGATGATTGAGACGATTATTTCTAAATCAAGTTGTGTGTCATATTCTATGAAATTCTGCATATAATGGTCTACTATTGACGATCGAAGACCCTTGGCACTAAACACGATTTTTCTAGCATTTTAATACATTTATGTATCTAATTAACAGTTGATTCTTTATCTCTAGTATCTTTATCGAACGAAATCTATACGCACATGAAGCAAGCGGTAGTAGGTACTTAAAGAGGAAAACCTAGTGTATAGAATGGAATCCGACAATAAGTCTGTTTAGGAAAAGGTTAAATGAATGATGATGAGGAAAAAAATACCAAGGCGATGTTATTTGAGGACAACGTTTCTAGAAGAAGAACACCTGATGCACGTACCTAAGTTTATATTTGTAAATTATTCAATGGATTCCTTTAAAGTTTAAATTAGATTATTATTACCAGCAGCTTCAAGTTTATGTGGTCATTAGCATAAATGTAAAATACTTATTGAATCAATAATACTTATAATTTATTCGGCAATTAGTGGCTAATTGGAGATGCATATTAATATGGAATAAGAATTCTTCGAGTAATTATCTTTAATCAACATTCAACTTCATAATGTTATCATAAGGACGTGATTGACTGACGTGAGTCCTCAGAATGGACGAACTTATTGAAATCGATTTCAATAAGCTTAAAAGGGCTGGCTAAAAAAAATGGCTGGCTAAATAAGTAATATTTTAATACAATACTAATTTATTAGAAACGTGTTATGACAGAGTACCATAACCAAATTAAAACTATAGAGATGTGTCTGATTAGTAAAAGATTTTGTAATTTTTTTCGTAATGAATACGCCATTGTTTTGCGGGTGGTCGGGCGAGTGGTGAAACTTGCCTTCTGCCATTGACCGCGATTTTCGTGTGTCAAATGCTGATTTGGTTCCGCACTTCGTGGCTATATCTCATCTCATGCTACCATGTGATGAAGGTGGATGTAAAGGTCGTGTCCGTAGATCAACTCTGCAATGAATGGTCAATATGGCTTTGATTTGGCCCTAAGTTACTTGGATTTCCATAACAGTCATCATGGATAGTCAGATGAAACATGTAATGAATGCATGATACTCGGATTGGGTCATGTAAAGCGCTTATCAAACACCCTTCGCTCCTTGAACTAGAATATAGAAGTAGACTGTAGACACTGATGACATCAAACAGATTCGTGAAATGTCAGTTTCACTGTTTTGAATCAAGCTCATGCCGACACTGATTCATTATAAATTCAATACAAGTACTGAGATATTCCGGTTGCGATAATTTTAATAACGGTACAAGGCAAAACAGTGCTATGTGCTGAGCTTACAAATGGCATTATTCGAACCGAATTGGACTAAATAATCTCAGCTGAGAAAGGCTATCAGCAAATGTAGTGATAGAAATCTTAACTACTTCTACTGTCTAGGATAGCATTGTAATAACAGTGTAACTGTGGTGCGTAGGACGATAGATGTGAGATACATACGATAAGATTGGTTAAAAGTCGCAAGCAACTTAACTGCCTCGAGCCTCTATTCACAAAATAAACAGAACATTATATTAGTTTAATAAAAATGTTGAATTACACAGTATAAAATTGTTTAAGTTACATGACAATGGACATGACAGTCTGTAACGAGAGAGATAACTTGATACAATGCTTTTTTACCTAACAGAAATCATTCTGGCCGAATGTTACGCCACGACCAGGATTCAATCGCCACGACCAGAATTCAATTGTGAATTGACACCTTCTAAAACATCTGAAACAAAGATGTTATTCAACTTTGTTATTCTTCAGCGGTAATTTGAGACATGTATGAAAATGTACGCCATTGTTTTGGTTACGTTGGTTGCAGTATGTAAGCACGGGTCGTCGTGGCACGTGGCGGGCGCCCGCGTGGCTCGTGCGGCGTACCGCGCGTTTTCCGCCGACCGGCTGGACTGCTGGCTCGCCGTGCATGTGGGGCTGGGGCATGTCAATGTTACGCTCACCGGTAAGAATTATTAAACTGTAGTAATTCTATGAAAATAGTATAAACAATAATATCCTACCTTATCATTTTAGAACGACTGCTGCTCTACGTACACTCTAGCAATATTATTTGGTTTTCTACAACGTAATCTATATAAATAAAAATTAATTTTCGTTTGTTTGTTCTCACTAAAACTCGAGAACGACTGAACCGAATTGTAGAGGAACGAAGTTTTTTTTTATATTTGATGGGCCGACGTTTGACCACTATCTCGCCTGGTGATAAGCGATGATGCTATCTACGATGGAGCACGTCGTCCCATAAGCTACCTATTCACTCGGGCCTTGAAGACTCCCAGGTTATACCCTTCAGGAAATACAGACTCTGGCAAAGAATTCCACTCTTTAGCAGTACGCTTAAGGAAGCTTGAAGCGAAGCGCTTCGTGCGTGTGGGTGGAACATCTACCATGAATCGGTGACGCTTCGCCGATTTGCCGGGTCAGCTAGTTTTCAATAATTACTAACACTATCTTCTTATCAGAAAGGTTATATGTACAACTACCAAGCGATCTGTTTTTTGTTTTCCTACTGAGAAATTCTTATTTATATTCAGTCAAAAAAGTATCGGGAATGGATGATTTGTTTATGGTTCCAAATTCAAATTTTTGTTTGTTAAAGTTGTTAGATTGACACAACTGTTTTCCATTTTGGCGCGGAGTTTGAGTTACATCTGTTATTAAAACCCCGAAACCGAAAAAACCACGCCAAAGTCGATCAAAAGTCAAAGTCATCTTGACTGTTATCTTTGACTATCGCGGTGTTGTGCACTCTGAATTCTTACCGGAAGGTCTAACGGTAAATAAAGAATATTATTTGAGCGTAATGCGGCGTTTAAGGTTACACTAGTCGATATATTTTCCATAGAAAGTTCGGGGTGGTATTACTCGACAGTGTGAATGTGTACCTACAAAATTAAACACGATATCGTTTTATATTGTAATTACATTTGTCGGTACGGAAACAAAAAAAATAAAAAAAAAACTACTAAAAAGTTATGAGCCAACAAAGTTTTGTTTTTCTTTACAATTTTAACGCAACTTTGGGTGTTAAAAAATACCACTAATCGTGTAAAATCTCCAAACCGAAGACCGTACCGACTCAGCACAATTACCATAAAGTTCTATAAAATTTATTTGAAATTGATCTAAGCAGTGGTTTTTTCAAAAAACGCTATTTTCTAAAGCACTAAATCGTACTTTTTTACGCACTCGTTTTGTGATGGATTATCGTGCATTTCACTGGATAAAACTCCCCCGGCAGTGGCGCGGGGCGGAGGGAAGACGCACACGCGTTTTTGCACAATTTTTTGCACAATTATTATTTGCACGACACGCGCTGTCGTGCAATTGTCGTGATTTAGTGAAGTTGTTTTGGTTGATTGCATGACACTTGGAATTTCCAAGTGTCATTGGAAAATACATAATAAACAATGGGTAAGTCGTCCCTACAATTTATTATACCTTATCTAATTAGATTTTATTAGATACAGTTATCGGTTTAAATTAAATTTTGTGTAGAAACTGCTGATGGAATCCAGTTGAAAAAAACGCATAATTATTATTATCAGGTACAAGGCCAACTGATGGTAACTAAAAGAAAGTTTTGTTATTTTGTTGTTTGGACGCCAAATGGCATCGAAATAGATATAATTGAAAGAGATGATGAGTTTTGGACGCCAGACAAAATTTCTAAATTAGATATATTTTACCACCAATGTGTTTTGCCGGAGCTGATAGATCCGCGTTACCCTCGTAAATTACCATTTAGAGATAGATTTTAAGTCAATGTCAATAATTACGTTAAATAAATATTACGATTACCAATAAAGATTTTTCAGGTTCATTGTTTTTTTTTGTCTATAAATAAAAGCATAATAAATAAGTAAGTAACTAAAAGGGTGAACCCTTAGCAATTATACCCAGCCTTGCGGCGCTCTCCTGTGCTGCTAATACAGATACTATACCGGCATGAATATTGAGCGTTGACTCAGATTGCGCAGAAATCAAGTCTCTTTAGTAGTAGGTATTGTGAGAAGGATTGTTGCTACCTACAATTCTTCTCCCAAAAATCCTTTTACAGTGATTAGCTCGCCAATGTATACCTACCCACTTTGATGCCGAGCGCTCAAGATTCGAGCCGGTATCTCTACTTATGTTTGTGTCAGGGAGGTACCTAGTGCGCAGCTTTATGTTACGTTCCGAGCTGCCAAAAAGTCTGTAGGTACCTAACACGAAGTTGGAGTTAGGGACCTACCTACACGATGTAGGTATGAAGTCCACAAGTTTTGTTACGGACGAAATGACGAAAATCTAATTATGTGGTATTATCACTACTTCTAGTAATCTTAGGTAGTCACCGACGTACCTAACTAGGTAAGTATATATTTAATTTTATGAAAACATAATGACAGATCAATTGTCTCGAAATTCAGGAAATAATTCAGACCAGTAAGTACCTACCTAAATAGGTAGGTAGTTCCTGAGATTATTATGTTCAACCAAACAAACTATAATATTAGTTAAACATTATAACCTGATGAAAATATGACATTTGAACTGTATTATTTAGATAAAAGATGCATCTAGCTAGTTTGTAGTAGGTACATAAAGTTATTGGTACTTAGAAAAAAAAATATTATATAAAATTATATCCCTAGCCTTTCGTGGATTCTTCGGATCGGATGATAAGTTGATATCATAAAAAAATTGTCAGTAATTACAATGCCCTGTGACAATAATTATTAAATTCATGCGAGCATCATAAAATCGTAGCAGCGTGTACGACTTTACTACGAGTAAACACACACAGCACAGATATATGCACCGTTCAGTGACGTTTTGCTGTGTTTGTGTGCGTGCGAACAATACGTCGTGCAAATAGATAGCGTCTAACTGCTCATCACTGGTACTATTTCTGTCACACACGATGTTAGATGAGACAGCGCGCTTTTTGGCCACGCCCTTGATTGAGTTCGAGCCCGCGACTAGTTTAACCCCAAATTCGACGAAAAAGGCCAGATTTGTTGAAAGAAAATTCTTGGATTTTGCACCTAGACAATGCACCTTCGCACAAAGCTATCATTGTGAACGAATTGTTGACTCAACAAATACCATCCAGCAACCACCATATTCGCCAGATATGGCTCCTGCTGGATTTTTTTCTTTTTCCTAAACTCAAATTACCACTTCGTGGCACCCGTTTTCAATCTGAAAAAATGTTTTGATGAATGGATTATTCGTTGGCGCAAGTGTATCGTTTCTAAAGGAGCATACTTTGAAGGTGATAAAATAAATTTGGATGAATAACAGACATTTTGTGTATTATTGATCTTTTCCCGGTACTTTCTTGACAGAGTAACATACTAACTCAAACTGTAGGATTAGAATGTATGCTTTGCCATTACTTAAATGCACTAATACTGGTCAATACGAATAATTCCAGCCCTGTCCTGGGGCAATACGAGTGTGGGGGATCCAGGTGTGGACTACAACGAGCAGTTCCGCTGGGAAGAGGCCGGGGCTATCCAGGAGTTCTACCGGGATGGCCTGACGCGAGGCCTGCCTTTCCCACTTTTGTCTGTTGCGGAACACTTCGCAGTACAGCATGAAGGTTTCGATTGGGGAGCCAAGTATCGTGCTGCAGGGTACACCACATCTACGCTGTTGTGGTAAGTGAAATGGAAGCTATTATTATTTATTAGAACTATTATTTTCAGGTTCTGAAATGCTGGAGCTATAGCGAATAGATTTTCTTGAGCCTCATTCTTAGTTCTAAATTTTATGTTCTACTGATAGTTTTATATAGAGGTACATGTTATGTTATGATATTTTTATACTGCAGTTCTTTTAAGTTGTAAAAATCTTTATTTATAACATTTCAGGACGGCGATAGCTCTGTGGCTACTGATGAACCTGCTCCTAGTAGTCGTGCCTCGATACGGCGCGTATGCCATGGCCACGCTCGGTGTGACGCTATGTGCTGCCGCCGGGGGCTACTGGGCCTCGCTACCACACGCGCCACTAGTCGTACGCCTTGACGGAGCCATGCTGTTCTTCTCGCTAGGATGGTGCTTTTGGCTTGTGTTAATAGCAGGTGAGCTAAAGATGATCCAATAATGTAACGCAATATAAACATAAAATCAACGTCTGTGATAATTGTGCAGGCAATAAGGCATTCAGTCTATCATAATTGTTAAGGCCAAAATCCTCCGCTAATTTGCCCCCATGGCGATGTACGTGTGAATTAACTTCTATAATCTTTATTAAATAAATTAATCTCTATATTCCAGGCTGTATCTGTGTGGCTGTAGGTTTAATAATCGCGATCCTAGACCTGATCTGGCCGCATCGGTTTTCGACGGTGCTGGAGGTGGACTACGACACGCCGTACGACAGACACGTATTGATTGTCGACAGTCGACAGCGAGCCAGGCCGCAGACACAAGCATCGTTACCTACTAGGATACTTAGGTTAGTTACTAGTTGCATTCAGTTTTGGCAAACTAATGTTACCCTATTTCAACGTAGTCCATTTCTGGACTATGAGGCTCCTCTACATTAGAAGGGTTTTCCAAAAAGTTCATGGTTAATAAAGCCCAAATGAATAGAGACAATCTACTGGGTCTCCTCTATATAAGTATTATGTGCCATAATCTTCGGCCATGCCGTGCACGTTGGTTTGATTTACGAGAGAGCGCTGCTGCCCAGTCTATGTTAAACGTATAGCCATTTAGTTGGCTCTTACAGCATTCGTGGGTGGAGTGAAGATAGTGACTAAAGTACGAGTATTCTACCGTTACCACGCGGTGCATTAACTCTTAATTGACCACATTAACTCTTTATTCTTCTGAAAATTACAGAAGACTGTCATCAAAAACTCGTGACACAGAAGGACAGGTCTCCATGTCAATAGTTAGTGAAAACGAAAGAGGTCGGGACAATCCCGCCTACCAACATGAACTCAGGAAGCCAAACTCACCGTGGAGGTATCCGCTCTTCAGAAGACAGATTGACAGGTACTACTAATTTTAATTATACGTTAAATATCATAAGACTTCATTCTTCAGTGATGATAAATGGTTTTATGTAAATGTTTCAGAGCGGACTCCGCATCGAGTCTGGGGTCAAGCATAAACGGTAACAGTTCCGGTATAAAGATGTCGCCACTGGCCACGGGGGCACCCGTGGCGCCACCGTCGATCCCTCCGCATAGGTACATAACGAGTACTTCTCAGTCTTGTCGCTATGTTAAATAAATGCTGCTTGCCTGAATACAGTGAAGTGAGTATTATGTTGTGATGATGAAATGAGAGAGAGAGAGAGAGAGAATAGAGAGTGCACCTGCGTTTGCGCACTATAATATCTTCTGCTTACTGAGCTTTTCTATTTATGAATACCGGCTTTCACGACTATAAAATTTAGGGAGACCACCACAGGTCACCGGTGTCAGCTGAATCATTTAATAATTTGAATTTCTTGAAGAAAAGATACGCCAATTGGTTCAGTACTTGTAGCTGATATAGCTACATATGTATAGGGCAATTTAGTTTGTATCATCGTAATAGAAAACCATACCAATCTCATTATTGAATTTCAGCTTTATCACTGTGCAATGGAGCCGAAAATCTATTAAACTTTAATAAAAATTTAACTTCAATTGTTATTGTTCAGGTACCGACCTCAAATACCAGCGGCAGAGCGAGTGAAGGACATGTGGTGATTAGTGTAATAATAGCATAATTTAATTACACTCAAATAATAGTAGGTGTTGGCGGTACGTCATCTAAAGTTACTGATCTCTGAGGACCTTCTTGCATGGTGAATAGACAAGCCCACGAGTTAAAAAATTAGTGATGTAGATATAAGAATCCGTAGAAACAACACAAATAGAATCAAATAATTTAAGTACCATATATTAAGATGGCCGCTTATATGAAAATATTCAAGTGCTTCCACCATATCAACGATTTCTCAAGATGACAATACTAATGTTGAAAAGAAAATTGTAAATATGTAAATTATAGTTAAGTATCTAAATTATGTGTTAAATCCGTCCAGTGTCATAAATGAAATGCCTAGGAAATAATGCTGTAACTCTTGTAAGATATGAGTAAAATGTTATGACTGCATCGACACAAGTAAATGCTTTGTGCCATGTAATAAAACAAGAGACAAGAAGTATTAAATAAATAAGTGAATTTTAATAAGGACGAAAATTAAATGTATTAAAAAGTATTGGAACGACGTAGATAGCATTTGACATTGTTGTTTTAATCAGACAAAGGTATGAATGTTGAAGTTAACGACATATCAATTAAAATAAAATGACATCGAATCGATAGAAGATAATTCGATAATCTATAACTAGACCGAAGTCATTTAGTTATACGTGTAATTGTAAGTTATTTATTTCTTATTTTCAGTTGTTGTAGTTGATGAAAGAATGTTGTGTGTAGCCATTGGTAGCAACAATCACAATTATAATTGTCTACGTCACATTAGTCCTAACTACTTACATCACGGAACATTTTCAATGTTGTGAAGATGTGTTTGCAACAGTGAATGTGTATTGTACTTAGTATTTTAATTATAACGATAGTGAGAATAGAATGAATGATTTTAATAATATTTATTGTGATCGAAAAAATAAACGAATTCAAAACCTTACCTCTGGTGTGTTTATTAAAAATATTATTACACAATTTATCAACGTTATGTATACCAATTATGATCATTCTTACAATTTCAGTGTTGTAAAATAAAACAACAGAGTAAAACTAGTAAAAGACAAATTTAATCACTCTAAAATAATACCATACCATAATCACATGACACACGTTACAAAATTGATAAACAATAAATATTGATTCCATTAGAAAATACCAATTAACTAATATCCGAGTCTAATGATCTTACATGCAAAAACATCAAAGAAAAAACAATATCAAACAAATAAATACAATTTCACAAGTCTTACGTTAGCTCCTGATAAATTTAACCGAAATATAACAATAATTAATTCGATATTTTTTAAATTTATCTGGTCGACAATAATTTTAGAGATTGTGAATCTTTTTATTCCTAGTCGTTTTGATTTAAGGTAATATATACATAGTAAGTTATAGTTTCAATATGGTTACTTTCAATTTTATTTAGACGTTTCGTACTACTTTTTTCTAAGATTGTTCTTTGACGAGGTGCTCGAGGTTCAACTGACAAAGGAAGGCACTCCAGTTGACGAAACCGCTTCTAATCTCCATCTCCGCTTCGCCCCACAATTTACACTAAGAAATATGAATATAGGTACTAATAAGTATCAAAATAATCCTAATCTATTTCTACAAATGACCTATGAAAGAAATACCTATTTACGCTATCCAATATTTAGGTACGACGAACAGATTATTTCTAATTGTTCGGCAGAAAGTTGAAAGTTTGTAGGTACGCCATGAACCTATCTATGCATGCATATTGCAATAAACAATAATAACGAACTAGCTGATTTTTCCACAGATTATTAACACGTGCAAACAAACTAATGGACTTTAGTATTTTCGTCTAAATGGATAATAAAATCAGTACAATCCATTTTGCTTATCACAATGTGACATTTAAAAAAATACGTTACCTCAGTATCTTTCACGGGTGGGGCATGACGTACAACCTTCTCGTAATCAGCTTCAGTAAGATTGAACACTGGCCGAGTCTTAAAGTCCAGGAAATCCATCATGTCTTCATAGTGGATATTGCACTTTTCATCTTTTAACAAACTGTAAAAAGAAATAAATGAAAATCACGATCTTTCTAATATTTCCTTATTTATTAAAATTACTAGTAGCACCACAAATACTGACTAAAAAGATAAAGAAAATTTATTTCCATGAGTTCACTGGGATATTTTTTGTACTTAGCGTAGACCTGACATTCACTTTGACCTTACTACATTACATTGCAAAAACACCGAAATAAACTCCAGATATATATATAGGTCAACGTCAACGATGATGCGATTGTGGAGGCCTGGCTTCAAGGCCTTGAATACAGGCGCAAGGTTGCAAGCCTTTCAGTTTTTTACCGGATACATTTCGGTGAGTGTGCGGAGGAATTGCACAACTTCCTCCCTAGTTCATTTTATCATCGTACCACAAAGCAATTGGTGAAGGGTCATCGATTCATGGTGGATGCTTCCTTGTGCGTACGGCTTTTTTTCTTTAAAAGGGGAAAATCATCGAATGACTTCTCCCGCCTGAGTGAGTCGGGAGGGAGTTTCAGACTCTTACTGACTAAAAACCATCCTGTTCCTTCTCCTGCAGTTCGAGCCGGAGCCCCGATAACCCGTTAGGTTCTCCGCGACTCCGAATCGGCATCAGCCTTATTGGGCCATCCGGGGTGGTCTGATGGCTCTTTGAGGCGCGCGCGGAATGCGATGCGCCATACGCTCGGGTGTACGGCTTAGGAGTCGAATTCTTTAACAGAGTCTGTGTTTCTTGAACGGTATAAGCTGGGTGTTTTCAAGGCCTCGGGCACTAGGCTAGATAGTGGCAATAACGTTGACCCATCAAATATTAAAAAAAATGATAATACATACATTTACAATATATTTACTCACACTGACAACATACAATCCATGAGATCGGTGCTCATAGGTAGTCGATGGGCACGAAGAAGTTGTCGCAACCGTTCTACGGACAATACACCCGAACCAGTCGCGTCAGCGTGCATCAGGCCTTCGCGGAGACGATCCCGGTCATCCCATAAGCCCCGTGTCAACTCCGAGAAAACTAGTGACCTAGACATAAGCAACGTTTTATATTCCCCCGAAAAGGTAAAAGACAAAGGTCATATGTGATTGGATAATAACCTAACTAGGGAGTCGAAATTAAGACAAAGGGTCTTGGCTTGACAGTTGCAACCAAAAATCGAATAACGAGGCAGGTATCTGTAAGTACATACTTAAAATATGAAAAACTACAATTCATTTCCCAATATCAAGTTTTCATCCTTACAAGTGATCGTTACCAATTTGTGACGCACGGCTAATAATAATAATCAGTATCATACCTGACCATCTCTCTGCGAGGAAGTTTATCCTTGCCAGGGTCCCCACGAAAGAATCTAATCAGAGTCAAGAACTCGTGCTCTGTCATCTTCTCACACATTATTTCTTTCAATGCTTGTCTATAAAACACAGGGAATGAATTAATTTAAATACAGGCCTTAATTACGTAACTAGCTACTCGAATTTGCTTCTGAGCAAGCCGTAGGGTAGATATTTTCTCATTACTCTAGTTTGTCTCATAGTAGCTATTTCTTAGTGTACAATACACAAAAAGTCGCTTTTTTGAGGGGGGGATAATCATCCAATGACTTCTCCTGCCCGGGTGAGGCGAGAGGGAGTGTCAGACTCTTACTGACTAAAAACCACCCCGTTCCTACTCCTGCTCTCCGAGCCCCGGCAACCCGTTAGGCCTTCCGCGGCTCCGTATCAGACGTAAAGAAGTACCTAAGTAATAATTTTACAACAACTCACATTTTATTTAAACAGCCATTTATCATTTGGATCTACTTACTTGAAACATCTAACAGACATGAGATCCTTTTTATCCGATTCTACAGCTTCCATATATTTTGCTACAAAGTTCTTGTATCCATTTTCTTGAGAAGCCAGCGTGCGGCGGATTTTGTCCATTATCAGCGCTATGTTTGCCATCGGGTACTAGCAATCACATACAAATTAACGTATTATTGCACTGCTCATGAATATGAGCCTCAAGAATGGCTTGAAACTAGTCAAGTTCCTCATCAAACAATATGTAAATAAGCCGAAACACATAAAAAATAATTTAGTATATCACACGAAAGTAATAATACAAATAAATTAATATATTTATAGATATTTAAAAAAAACTTTACTTTGAAATCATGAAACACCATAATACCGACTGAGATTCGCACCTAACATGTGTTTGGGTTGCCTATAAATCTGCAAACACAAAAAGTCCAAAGTTAGAATCAAACTTTTTCGTCTCACCTGTTCGGCATTCAACTCCATATATCGCAGAGCATATTCATCAGCGGCAATGAGTCGGAATCGGTGCTTGTTGACAACCAACTCGTTGCCAACCCACATGTCTTTGTCCGTGTACGCTGGGGGCTCTTTAGGCACAAAGAAATTCACGTCTGGCAGATACATTTTGTTGCGCCGGAAAAATTTACCACCCTGCCGAAAAAATGTTAGTAATCAATAAACCTCGATCGAATGTTTTCTCGAACTAGTTGAACAGCTTCATAGTTCCAAACTCGTCGTTGATTATGACTCGCATTGCAATAGCGTGGAACTCTCGTAGCAGTGGCGTAGCACACGTGTAGCAGTGGCGTAGCACACGTGTAGCAGTGGCGTAGCACACGCGTAGCTGTGGCGTAGAACTCAGGTAGCAGTGTCGTAAAACTGGTGTAACAAAAGCATACGAGGTTGCGTAGCACATTGTGTAGCTACCCGTTAAAGTCGCTTACTGTCGCAATAAAATCAATCTTCTCTATATTACTACACACTCTCTAGTATCTGCATAGTTACGCTGAAAATATTGATTATAATTCAATAAACTTCTCTTACCAAGAAACCCGAATTGCGTTCGCCTAATTCAAAAACACCAATAGTATCATCACAGAGAAAATATTTAATGATAAAATAGCGTCGACTATCGTCAGGGTTGTCAGAAATCAGACGAGCAGAAAAACGTAGGACGTGCGAGTCGAAACCAACTCTGCAGCAGCAAAAAAAAATAGCGTTATTAATTACGACTAGAAGATACGTATATATAGATATAGATGTATTTTGAAATAGTATATTACCTATCTTTATTAAGAAATTTAATAAAGTCCCTATGGATCGCCTTAGGTTCCACAGTACGACAGTTTTCTGCGGAATCATCATAGCTGCCGTAGCCATTCCAAGGAGGTAGTTGACGATCCGCCATATTAGAACTGACACATTCCTTGCTATCGTCTTGAGGAATTGGTAGTTTAGTGAATGTGTCTGAAAATTAATCATTAGTTTATTACGCAATATAATAAAAAAATAATAAAAATCTTTATTTTCTCAAAAATACTCCACGGATACAAATTATATAATATGTTACAATTAAGAGACTGGTGTCTGTTAAAAGTATAACCTGTGTTACAGATCACCAGGCCCGGATGACCCCCGGAGACATTCAATAATATAAAGTATTTACTGAACTAAAGAAAATGGACAACATTGTATGAGTGAGTATTTACTCACTCATGGTGTGTAACAATGTAGTGTGAGTGCGTGTGTATGTGAGTGAGTGAGTTGATGTGTATTATGTGTGGGTGTGTATAGGTAAGTGAATGAGGTGGAAGTGTTGATATGAATGTAGTGATAATATAATCTATGTCTGAAAGATACATTCACAAAAGTTGTCAATTATTGTCAATTATTGTTGTCAATTATTAAATGAACTTACCGAATCCATATGTGACGCGATAATACTCCTTCGTAAATGGATCACAGTCAGTAAGCACAACTTTGCGACCAAAGACATTCAGAACAGCACCAATGCTCAAATCGGCTGGACTATACGATGCTACTAGGGGACCGCCCGTCATTTCTATTTTGGGTGGTATTT